GTGGCGGGAAGAGGAAGGGGGAATGGGACGACGACGGTGAGCCAGGACAAGATGGGGAGGCCCAGCAGGAGAGACAGGAGAAGAGGAGAGGCAGAACGGAGAAGAGGGGGCGAAAGGTGAGGAACACAGTTCCCCATCTCCTCCTCCCCTCCTCGTTCTCCTCCTTGTCCTCCTTGTCCTCCTTGTCCTCCTCCTCCTCCTCCTCCTCCGTCTTTCACGGCGCGTCCTCCATTAACCCTCCTCCCTGCTCCTTCCTTCATCCTCATGCTGCCTCCTTCATCCGCAATCTTCCCTCCCCCGTCCCTCCTCGATCTTCCCTCCTGCCGCCTTCCCTCCGTCCTTCTGCCCCAGCCCCGCCCGCGCTTCTCTGTCCTGCCTGCTCCCCCCCATACCTCTCAGTCGGCACTGCCGCTGCTCCTCCTCTACCCCCCCTCTTCCCCCTGATTCTTTCTTCGTCCTCCCGCCCTTCTTTCTCCTTGTGCTCTTTGTCCTCCTCCTCCTCCTCCTCCTCCTCCTCCTCCTCCTCCTCCTCCTCCTCCCCCTCCCATATCTCACACCTCCTTTCAGGTGGCGCAGCCCCCCCCCCCTCCCCACTTCAGTCCCAAGACGCCGACATGCGGATCGCAAATGTTATCGTTTTGTGTTGTCCTCCGCCTCATCTAATGCCTTACTCCACCACCTCCCAAGCCGCCCCCGTCCCGCGTCCTCCCACCTGACGCCGGGGCGCGCACTGGACTACCACAGTCTCCACCAGCTCTCCGTCCTCCTGCTCGTCGGCAAAGGTGAACTGCGCAGATGATCTTCTACCTTCGTGCGCGCTCGGCGTTGGGAGAAAGAGGAGGAGGAGGAGGAGGAGGAGGAGGAGGAGAAGGAGGAGAACAGGAAGATACAACGCTCCTGAACTGCCATCGTTTGCGTTGGCGTTTACTTGAGAGGCGGCACCCCTGTACCACATATCGCCCTCCTGAACATGTTCCCTCCCCCACCCGCTTCCGCCTCCGCCTCTTTCTGTCTTCCTGCTCCCTTCATCCCTACCCTTCTTCCTCCGTTCCTCATCTCGCCTTTTCCTCTTCTTCTTCCAGAAGTATTCCACGTTGTGTGTCTCTCTCTCTCTCTCTCTCCCTTCCCCCGCAGACACAGACACAGACACAGACACAGACACACACACAATTTTAAGTCGGCGGCGCAATGGAGCCTCAGGCGCGGTCGGCAAGTGGAGGTGCCAATTGCGAACGAGCTTAGTCGAACGCGCCATGATGAAACAATCCAACCACGGCCATGCAGATTGGTGGTGGGAAAACGGGAGGCGCTGTAAAGCCAAAGTGCAGCGGCCAAAGAAACCGCGGAATGAAAGCTCAACGCTTGAAGTTTGAAGCGCAGACAGCAGTCAGTCTGGTGCGAATTAAAACCTCAAGAGGGCAACGAAGACGAACTGTAAGGCTGACAGAGCAGCCAACTTGGGGGGCGGTGCATAATTACACACAGGAGCACACAAACACACACACACAGACACACAGACACGCGGACGACACACACACACACATAAACACACACACACACAAACACAAACACACACACACACACACACATACGCGCGGGTTTGAGCTCAAAGATAGTATTTCGTGTGCTTACGATTGGACAGTTTTGGATCTTCGGAATTCTCGTTGCGGGGTTGACTGCAGCATCGGCGCCCTGCTCCAGTCGGTCGGCGTGACGCTCTCGCTCGAGCGCCGAGCGCGGGCCACGCTTCCGGATCCGCTTCCCTCCCCGTCGTTGCCGCCGCCGTCGTTTGCCTTCCTCCGCCTCACCCTGATTCTCCTGCTCCTCCTGCTCCTGTTGTTGCTGAGTTTTCTCCTGCTCTTCCTGCTCCTCCTGCCCCTCCTGCCCCTCCTCGTCCTCCTCCTCCTCCTCCTCCTCCTCCTCCTCCTCCTCCTCCTGCTCCATCCTCCTCCACCCTCCTCCTCTAAACCTTCTTCCTCCACCTCCTCCCTTCCTCCTCCCCCACCTTCTCCTCCTCCTCCTCTTCTTCCTCCTCCTCCGCCAACTCCTCCTCCTCCTCCTCCTCCTCCTCCTCCTCCCTCGCCATCCTTCTCCTATTCTTCCTCCTCCTCCTCCTCCTCTTCCTCCTCCTCCTCTTCCTCCTCCTCCTCCTCTTCCTCCTCCTCCTCCTCCTCCTCTTCTCATCCTCCCTGCGGGCCTTTCGCCTTGCTCCGCTTGGACTTCAGCACCGAGCGGCTCGGCGCGTGGGTCCTCGCGGGCCCCTGTCCCGCCCTGCGGACTGCGCCCCCACGAGGGGACGATGAGGAGGATGCGGCGGAGGATGAGGACGAAGAGGAGGAGGAGGCAAGGAGGATGAGGAAAGGAGAAGGAGGAGGAGGAGGAGGAAACGAGGAGGAGGAGGAGGAGGAGGAGGAGGAGGCTGGAGGAGGCTTCGCTCCCGCGGACGGCCTGAGAGAAACGATGGAGGAGGAGATCGAGAGGAGGGAGGGTGAAGAGGATG